TTGAAAGCTGAGCTGCCAGGCAGAGTTTTGGCCGAGGATGTGTTGCCTTCTCTGGGTTATGAGCCCTCCTGACCCTCCATAATGGCCATGTGGCTGCTTCTCTTTCAGTCTTCTTTTGGCTCCTGTCTTCTGTAGCTTTACTCTTTGCCACACCCTAATTAAAGACTTTGAAGACTTGAAAATACCTGGCTGCAAAGGATTACAATGGGTAGTGTGAGGTGGAGAGAGGTAATGCAATTGGTACAGCTCCATTTATATGAATCTGGGATAATGCATTGCTACAAGTTGAGTGTAGTAATTAGAATTTTTGAGTTGTGCTGGTTCTGCCTCTCATGTTTTGCATTTAAATTCCTACCATGCAAATTTAGGAGTATTAATACTTGCCTGATTAGAAAGCCTGCTCCATTAGACATTTTAATTATAAAAAATTCTATAGTGCTGTGTAATTTCTTGCCTTCATATGTAGTAATATACATCTTTGCCTTGATGCATCTCAAATGTATTTAGTAATGATAAAGAACCCTGTGATATTTTCTGAAGTGTGAACTAAAGAAGGGAAATCATTGCTTATTCTTAGTATTGTATAAAGTACATTGGTGTTCTAGGTCAGTGCTTATATCTGGATGTTTTTAACCCTGGTTTCATAGAATAGACATTGTAAGCTCCTGGATATTGGCATTCTGTTCCTATGGATTGTTTTGTGACAATCAAAGACAGGGTGGGGGTCATATTGGTATTTCAATCTTTACCTATTCCCTTGTGTGTTCACTGCTGTACATTACTGCAACCCTCTCAGCCTTTCCTGGTCTCCAAGTCTTCTCTGGTTTGAAAAGCTGCTTCTCACTTTGCACTCCGTGGTACAAACCCCTGTAACCCTTTAAAGCTCTGTTTCTCTCCTCAGGGTTATAATTGCCATGCTAACAATCTGCAACCAGCCTGGTGAAGAACATGCCAAGAGAGAAGCACTCACCTGCAGGGTTCCCTGCTGGGGACATGTGATTTACCATCCTAGGTAAATTAAGATCTAGCTGAAATATGATTGGCATTTTTTTGTAACTACAAAAAGATGTAACTACATTGAGTCAATCCCCAGAGCTGATGCTTTCAGTTGAGACTCTCTGCCATGTGTCCATTCTGAACACAATAGCAGATTGACCAGGTCATCTCAGACTGCTGGGACCTGAGTGGAACACCATCATCAGAGCCATCCTCTGCATTTGAGGCTATTTTAAAGTCAGTATTTTTATTCTGGAGGATGCCCATTGTTCTGCTTCAGAGTTTGTTTGTCCCTGATGTGTCTGAACACATGATCTCTTGGTCAGCCATGCCAAGATAAATTTCCTCCAAACCATCTTTTACTCCTTCACTCAGCAAGATTGACTGGGGCACCCCTGAGTCCTTGGCCAGTTTATAGCTCAGGCAGGTTTGGTGCCAAGACTTTTGCACTTCTCAGTGCAGAGCTCGAGGAGATTGTATCTATCGCTCTGTCTTCCCATTTCCCTTGGGACAAAAAGCATTTTTAGATTTTCTTAAATGGTTTAAAGTAATTGAAGAACATTTAAAGTAATGTAACTTTGATGCCATTGCTTTATCAACCAAGTTTGTAATGTTTTCAAGTTTAAAAAACCCAGGTAAATTGTATCTTATCATACAGATTGTTTTCTCTATTCTGTGAAATGTTAAGACTGTGGAATGACTACATTATGCTTTATTTAGATATCCTTGGGGTGAAAAACATGGGCAGCCAGCTACTGGTCTTGCTTTAACTTTCCTTTGACCAGTTCCTGACCTATGTTCAGCATTTGTTTTCAGTGTTTTCTCAGCCATTTGCTCTTTGATTACAACTCCCATAGATTTCTATGTTTTTCTATAGATTTCTATTTTTTCTATTTTTTTGTGACAAACTTTTATGACACACATTTCTGGGTGCTTAATTTCTGTCAGATTTTGTGGGAGTCTCTCATGGAGTTTGTTTATTTAGGTTGACTTAACAGTGCTCAGCCATCATTGTCCTGTCATTGTGGTTTTCCTTTTCTTGGCAGTCGTCAGCTGTGCTGTGAGGAAACCGCTGATAGAGACTGAGATGATAAACTGCCCCAGCTCATAACATCAGCATTGCATTTTAGAGTTTTTTGCCATATTTTTGCTGGTGTTTCTCTCTGACATTTCTGAAAAGATGGTATTTGTGGACTTTGAAATTCTACTTCTACCCCCACAGGCTTGCACATCCTCCCTTACTCACTAGCAGGTGTAATACAGTGCTGTTGCCCTACAAAAAGGCTCCTAATGTAAAAATACTGATTTCAGCCTCTTCTTGTGAAAATAGAAACTGGTTCTTTATGTCAGGCTTAAAAATATATCCTCTAACATATTTTTACTGTCTTTTCCTGTTGATTTTCTTAACCTTATGAGGAATTTGCTTACATCCTCAAGGTTTTTATGCAGAAATTATGGAGACGATCCCAGATACTTTGCATTTTCCAGCATTATGAGAAAATCATACAGCCATTTCTTACACGGAGGTGTCATGCAGTTCCCAGTAATCCACCCAGAGAACATCAAGTTGCCCTTATCTTAGGTAAACTCTCTGTGACAAAAGGTCATGCAGCAACTAGGACCAGGGGTGCCAGTCCCATTTATGTTGCTTTTCTCATTTTTATTTTGGATATTAACATCAATTATATAATTTTTTCCCCACTCCTTGTGCCACCTGAATTGCAACCTTAATGCTCCCATATTTTAGGCTCATTCCACCCTGTGAATTTTGCAAGTTCCTGAGACAACTGTGGGCAAAGATTTAAAAAGCGTAGCAATGTATTCTGCAATTTCCTCTTCTGAATATTATTTATTTGAAGCCTCACTCAAGGCACTTGACTGAACCTTTGTGCCCAGTGTATGAATAGTTCCTGTGCTTCAGAGATCCTAATTCCATTATGACAAACGTGTTACAGTTTATTCTTTATACTGAAATTTTGATGTCCCAGAGCTGAAATTAAACCTTTGCTTGCTCAAGTGTTTCAGGACCATGCTTGTTTGATTGTTGCATTACCTGCACAGCTTTACTTTTGCAAGTATTGTGCTAATCTTCATTAGTCTTACTTCACACAGTGCTTTTAAGTCCACTAAAAATCTTAACTTTGGCTTCCTGATAACTCTTATTAAAACTTGCTGGTTTTGCCTCTGCGTTCTCTTCTTTAGACTGCCCTTTTTTTTTTTGGCTACCATTTTTCAGGAAAGCTGAGTTTTCTGCCAAAAATACAAACCCAGAAATTATTGCTGATAGTCTGTTCAGAAGAGGATGCATCAAACAGGAACAGGTCCATGTGATTTTCTTTCATCCAGCTCATCCAGTGACATCAGGTACTGGTGGAAGTAACTATTCATGCATCTGGCTTCAGACAGTTGGGGAAGTTTAAAAACACTGGAAAAGGAAAGCTAAATGTAACATTTGGCTGGATAAATTGCTGGCTGGTTCATTTGGCTTTGTCCTGCTTATGACACTGGTGATTTGATTCCAGTTAAACCTGACCCATGTTCTGAAAGAACTCAATTCATTTACTGATCTCAAAATACTAATACAATACCAATGTGAAACATCTAAAATTAAGCAATGGAATCTGGACTACACAGAGAAGAGATGAACATGGCAGCATTTAGTCTTTTCATAAAATGTATGTAATTTCTCCTGGCTTCAGTTGTCTGCACACAGAACTTTCTTCCTTTTTTTCCAAAATTTTTTAAAGTTTGAAACTGATATTTTGGTTTGAAGAAACAAATTTTTCCGATTTTATGTTTTGCTGATTTCAGCCTCATAATGGGCAATGGTACCTAATTTGCACTGGTTTTAGCAAAGCCATGGGACCCACCTCAGCCTGATTCCCACCATGTTGCCTTCATATGCACAGATAAGGTGATAAAAGATGTTGCCTTCTTGTGTTGCCTTCTCTGTATAACACAGGCACGTTTGTGCCCACAGAAGCTGCAAAGCCTGGCCAGCTGAAGGAGATGGATGGCAATCACTGAGTCACATCACTTTCTTTATGCTGCCAGCTTTGCAAAATACCACATTTATGTCTGCGTTGGAGGGCACAGCACAGTTTCTTGTTCAGACTTGAACTCATTTTTAGTGAAGACACTTTCTCTTTGCAATGCAAGATTGAATCCTCTAGTTGCTGGCACACAGAGCTTTCCCCCTGTCTGTGCTTCAATCTCAGTGTGAGTCCCTTCATTATCAGAGGGCAGATTTTTAATGTGTCCTGTAAATTTATTTAGAACTGGTAATAAGAGCCAGGATTCTGAAACTGACTTAAAAATGTAGGAAAAAGGAAAGGTACATGAAGCTTTCAATTAGGTTATATTTAAAAAAAGTATAAAATAATTGGAATTTAATATTTAATTTTTGAATATGAAAATTGTAATGTTGTGATTTTATTAATTATTTAATTGTAATGTGGATTTTTAAAGCACTTTGTCATTAGTGTTTACTTGGTGAAATGCTTATTTTTTCCATTTACTGGAAAAAAAGGTTTGAATGCTCAAGGCCAATTTTTCAGAAATCTCAGGTAGCAATCTCATCTTCTAATTGTATCTTTAGTCGGTAACTACACTTGTTTTTGCCTGTGTAAACTGTGTGTACTGGCAGGCAAATTTGAATTTACAACCACATTTAAATAATGCTTGCGACTAAAACGCCTGGAGTATCTTACCTATTGTTTGTGTGTACCATATATTCAATCTAGCCTATTGCAAATATATACTCTATACTATTGTAGCTATATTCTATGTAACTGTGTAGTCTAACCTATATGTAACACTCTTAATCTGAATTAAGTCATTGTAAGGCAAATCACCAAGTATGTTTTTAAAGTTCCCAAAGCAGGTGAAACTGAGTTTCACTCATCTCATGTCCAGTGGTGAGCAAGGGCTCTCACCTGGAGTCACTCCAGTCCAGATCTCCCAACAGACACCAGCACAAGCTTCAGGAAAAATACCTCGAGTACAAGTGATTCCATATTCCAATACTGAGGATTGCTGAAAGCAGAGATGTGCTTTTGATTAGGGATCAGTTTGATACATCACAGTATGGCAAATAGATGGGGTGCAGGAAAAGGGCAGGCATTGATGAAGAGGGAGGGACGGAGGGAGGGAAAGGAGCTGAGACTTTCTAGAACTCAGTCTGCAGACAAAACTGGTGGAACAAGAAGCAAGATTACTTTTTCCCAGCTCCAGTACCTCCTTTTTGATAGAGACAGCTATAAATCAACTGGCAAATTAGCTCAGAAATGCTAACAATAACTCAAGGTTTTATAGTCCTGGTCATTGTTTTGTTAATTGTTGAGTTTTTCAGGCTGCAAAAAGCTTGCAAGCAATTTCCTCCTGGACCAACTCCTCTCCCATTGCTTGGAAACTTGGTGCACTTGAACTTTCAGTTTCATCGGGATCTTCTGATGGAGGTATTTCTTTTAATATGCTCTTAATTATTTTTAGCCATGACTGCAAAAATTGTGATTAATTAAAGGTTTTAAGTCTGTGAAATTTCCAGACAAGGTGTGGACATCTAAAAATCAATTGATTCCTAGATTTGAGCCACCTTATGTGGAATATGTCTTCTTTATGAGAAAGTTAATGCCCTTAAGAATCAAGTCAACCTGGGGACAGAGTTTATGACTTGTTATTAAAGTTGAAGAATACCAATAATCTGAAAGATGATTCTGCACTGCTAAGTGTGAAGCTGTATCCAATATAGTGACAGTTATATCTGCTATCCCTACATGATACTTTTTAAAATTCTCGCTGGCATTGCCTAATTTGTGGGTAATACGGTGCATGTATGCTTGTAGTACAGGAAGTGCATTTGTTCCCCATCTTCCTACAGCTCCTGAAAAGTGTGTTGTTAGTTACAGCTGCAGTAATTCCTCTAATGGTTTGCAGGTGACCTCTAGTTCAGGTGGATGCCTGAGAGCACACATGGGCCAATGTGTGCAGAGCAGACTCAGGCTGTGATGCTCTAGCAGGGAGAGGAAAGCCAGAATCTAAATAAATACGAGGAGAAGCAAGGGTCTGGTGTGATCAACTGGATGTAATTTTTGTGGCACCTTAGACACTGTCTGACATCTTTTCTGTATCATTGTGGGTATGCTAGAGCAGAGTCCATACTTGTACAAAGCTTTTTTTATGCATGATTTGAGTTCCTCTGCCATACAAACATCTCTGCTTGGATACCTCTGCTGTGTCCAATGGTAAGTGCTCTCCTCAGTACTAGGAGGAAACCCTGGACTCAAATGCAGCCCACTGGTACTTCATGGCTGTTGGCTAAATTCTGTGCCCATGTCCTCTCCCACAGCACACAGATGGTGCAGATTCTATCATCTTATTTCATGTTGCAAAGGCAGGACTTGCTGGAGGCACAGAGCCCCAGGGTTGTGCAGAGTGTGGCTGTTCAATTAACAAGGTACAAAACACAGGGGTTGGAAGAGATGCAACATAAAGTACAGCAACATAAAGTACAAAGTTTTCTTTCTTTTACTGCAGAGTTGCTGCAGAATGTGCTTTGAAAAGAAAATAACTTCTCCCCTGGGTAAATAAAACTGGCTGCTGAAAGCCTTATTCTCAGCAAAACAACAGCTTCTTCCAGCTACAATTATATGCATGGAGATGATGCTTTCAGTACAAAGCTGTCCACTGGGCTGGCGAAGAGCAGGTGCAGTGTCTGTTTGAGATCTATATATGGAGATTCATCTGTTCTTTTTCTGGTACCTTTTCTCCTTACAGCTGGCAAAAACTCATGGTAACATGTACACTCTGTGGTTTGGGTGGGTCCCAGTGATTATACTGAATGGATTTCAAGCAGTGAAGGATGGCGTGACCACGCACCCTGAAGATGTTTGTGGGAGGTTGGTGACACCTTTCTTCAGAGCACTGGCCAAAGGAAAAGGTGAGATTTTCCTGCCATTAATAGTGTAAAGGAATATTGACTTGAAAAGTACTCTGCCCTCCCATTCAGAAAGATCTTCCATCAGATATTATTCAAATCCTCCACTGGCTTTTCAGAATATCTTACTGTTCACCATGGTGCCTTTTGCACTGAGCTTTCCCTAGCCTAGGAAACACTTCATGTTGTTTCTATGTGACCTTTTGGCTGTATTCAGGATGTTTATATGTGATCCAACCCAGAACCCAGCAAGCTCTCCCTCATCACAGACTAGTGCATAGTGGTACACATGATTTTGCTTTATATCACATGAATGCAATGCTTGTTTGGTTACTGTATACGTTATGGCTGCCAAACACTCCATCTTAAGTAAGAGACCTATAAATCCCTACTCCAGAATTCACATTTCAGTACTTGTGGACATTTTGTGAATACCTTTTGATTGCAAGAGTGCCTCCAACACAGGAAAACCCACTTATTCTTAGAGTATTCCAGCAGTTTGCAGTATTTTTTTCCTGCCTCTGCAGTTGCTAGACAAAGCAGACACACATTGTTTAAAGCTGGATAAAGCCTCACCTTCACAGTAGTAGTTCAGGGCTCTTCAGGTGATCAGGAGTGCAATCTAACAATTAAAGGAGTGTTGTCTCTTCCAGGGGTAGAAACAGAGCCCAAATGTCACTTATCTTTCACCTTCATCACCTCAGCCTACAACCATCACATTAATTGATCTATATCTCCGCAAACATACCCTGTCCTGAACTCTACTCTGTCGAAATTCATCCAATTATTCCTGTCTTGAGAATGATTACCTGAGTATGGCTAAAGCAAATTTCCCAAAAAGGCTTCTTAAGGAGTTTCAGAGCTTTTTAAGACATTAAGAAATGGCACAGTCAGAAAATCCCGAGTTTGCTCTTTTCAGTGATTAATGACATTCAATATAAAGAACATGTGGTCTAGTTATAGTTTGGGTATGCTTGGCTATGATTTTTTGTTACCAATAATTTCAACTAAAGATACTTGTATCACAGTCTGTTCCCTGATTTATCCCATGTATTGTATAATATGAATGAATGAATTGTTCCATGTCTGTGGCAAATATTAACATGCCAGGGAACACCCTCAGGTATTATACTTGCAAGTGGGCGCTCCTGGAAGCAGCAGAGGCGTTTTGGAATTATGACTCTACGCAATTTGGGAATGGGGAAAAAAGGCCTGGAGCATCGAGTGCAAGAGGAGGCCTCTCACCTGGTGGAGTTTTTTGTGAACCTCAAAGGTATTTTACCTGTTAAGGAATCAGGCACTTTTCAGTCTGGATATGGATCCATATCTTCAGTATGCAAACTTACCTACCCCTTCTAGGGGATGTATCCAAACTTACCAAAGCACAAGAGCAGATAGAGCCTAGAATCACAAGTATTTCCTTCTTATATAGCTCTTCATACATCTAGTGAAGCTGGAAACAACTGAAATTCCACCTCCGTGGGCAGATAATTTCTCTGTGATATATTGTGCAATGACATGATGCTGCTGAACTGCACAGCCAAATCATTCTCAGGCTGCCTGCCCTGGGTAACTGAACAGTATTGCAGAGCTTAGTAATTTCCTTAGATTTCAATGACTTTGGGTGCCCTGCTTATTTTAATGTCTATCTGGCTAAGTAACTATTGGCTAAGTAACTACTGGCAAGAGAAACAAAGTAGGAGGTGGAAGGGAACTTCAGTGGATCATCAGGTTAATCCTAGAGTCCATGACAGGATGATTTCTATCCAAATCACTTTTTATGAATATCTGTTTCATAGCTTTAGAAGAAATCATCAGACAGAGATATGATTTACTGCTCACTGTTGAAACTGTAATAATTTCATTGTATTTACTTTGCAGTTCCTGTCTATTCTTCTTCTAAAACCTGCCCACATTCCTCCAGGTTTTCCTTGTAATTGTTTTTTTACAGTTTTGAACATATCTGCCACTGACTTCCCTTAGTTCATGTCCAGTGGCACTACTTCCTTCTCACATTCTCTCCTCACAGCTGAAGACAGCAGATTTGATGTGATACCCTAGAACTGATTTTAGCTGTACAGCATTATTTCACAGGAATGGCTGTTAAATTGTTTTAGAGCTATGAGGAAACAGTTTAGCAGTGTACTTTATTTTAAGACTATGTTTTATTTTCTTTAATTTGTGTTAGTGCACATCTCTGTCCCCATTCACACTCCAGATGGATAAAGGGAACATTTTATTAAATCTTTAATAACATCAAGTCCTATCTGTATAAGGATCACCTGAAAAAAACACTGAGATGAATTCCAATTATTGTGTTTGCAGGAAGACCTGTGGATCCTTCTTTCCCTCTTTTCCATTCTATTTCAAATGTAATTTGTGCTGTGGTTTTTGGATATCACTTCTCTGATGAGGACAAAACCTTCCATGAACTGATCCATGCTACAGAGAAAATATTCAGGTTTGCAGGCAGCTTTGTTCATCAGGTGAGTAAATCATATGCTGGTTTTTTTTGGGGTTTTTTTTTGGGTTTTTTTTTTTTTTTTAATAGGTTGAAAGTGAAAGAGCAGATACAAAAATAGGTCTTCACTAAATAGACAACAACAGGCAAATATAGCCTGGGAGCTAAGAAGTGTCCTTGGGGAGGGACCTTATGGCTGCATCCTTGGTTTTAAGAACCCTCTTGGGTTTTTTGCAAGCGTAAGAGCTTTAAGTCCTTTAGTCTTTCTGAAACTATTAACAGAAACTTCTAAATTTAATTTGAGCCTGGAGTTGGTATTATATTTGAATTCTGCTGTGCTGCTCCTCCCACTTCTATTTACTTCTCTCCTCCAAAAATGTATGTAATTGGATTAATTCTTCTGCTTTTTATCACTCTGCAAATCATATGCTGAAAATTTTCTTTTTTCCCCTACCTCACAAATGATAAAATATTAATTATTAATCTATTCCTTGCTGTGTTATAGCTCACCATTCACACATTGCAAAAACAGTAGATACATTCTCTGACAGTCTCAGGGAATTCAAGAATTCAAGTTCTGTCAGAGATTTTTTTGTAGCTCCTTCCCACAAAACACCATAAAGACCAAATTTGGATTTGAAGCATCTTGCAGTGCATTTAAGGTATTCCTCAAGAATTAGACTTTGTGGCTTAGACCCTTAAGGAGGGACAAGCTGTGTGTAATGGGGAATGTGGATGGCATAGTGATGGCATTTGTCAGTGACATGGTACCTCTTGTGTGTCCTTCCTGCAGATGTACGAAATCCTGCCCTGGCTGCTGTGTCACCTTCCTGGGCCTCATAAGAAGGTGTTGGCTTGCTATGATGTCCTGAGTTCTTTTGCAAGGAAGGAGATCAGAAGACATGTAGAGAGAGGGATACCAGCTGAACCACAGGATTTCATTGACTTTTACCTGGCTGAGATTGAGAAAGTAAGTGTTCATTCTGGCTGATTATGCTGTTATGAAGCATAAGGTCAAACAGACCATTGAACCCCTCTGTGTGGCCCTTCCACCATAGTTTCTTACATTTCACAGGCTTCTTAATATGAATACAATATCTTAGCACTTACTGACAAGTCTCACAAAGGCATCCAGTTTTGTATTTTGGTAACATGAATGAATTACCATGAGGTTTGACAGTGAGTGAACCCATGAGCTCTTACCTGCTTTCCATAAATATCCATGAGTACACTTCAGTCCTGTAATAAATATGAGACAGTTTATTCCTGCAAGCTACATAACTTTGGTAGACCACCTCATCTTCTACAGCAAGGCTCATGTTTATAGTGGGATTAAATACATATGCACAAATCACTGCCCTGAAATAGCAGGCATGCTTCCTGGGACCCAGTGTGTGTGCTGCGGCCCTGGCTGTCCTTGTGCCACATAACTGTCTGTTTTCTCCATTGGTAGGCAATCATCATCCCTATGTTACCTCTGATTTCCCCACTGTTTGGGGCATGGCTGGCTTGGCCCCATACTCAAATTGGAAAGCCTAGAAAACGATTTCACAAAAAAATGCCATAATCAGCATTAATCTTCTTCCCTGCCCAGGCTATTATTTTCCATAGTAGGAAGTAGGACTGAGCCAGAGAAACTCTGCCAAGAGCACTTTAGCTTCTGTTTCAAACTTTTCAGGAGGTAAAAGAAGAACCTCTTTCTTAGGGTAGATGAAATGTATGTAGTTTCTACTTCTGGTCATAAGCTTTCAGCCTGCTGTGTCTTCACAGTGTTGGCTCATGGGCTCTGAAAGATACACCATTTTACACTCAGTATCTGCGTGAGTATGACAGGATTTACTAAAATAAGCATTTTAGAGGCAAAGATGCAGCTTTCTCTGGTGTCAGTGGTGCAATTTATTGCCGTCTGTTTGTTTGAAAATGTTTTTGCCTAATGTATTTTCTCTAGTTGTATTTTAATTTTACTTCCCTATTACTCAGAAGGAAATACATGAGTACCTCTTGCCCATCAGTTCACATTTATCCTGAACTGAGAAAAGAAATTACTTGCAAAATGATCTGTTGAAATTCTTTGGTCCTGAGCATTTTCCTTTGGCATTTGCTGGCACCATTCGATACCAAGGCTGAGCAATGACATATTGTAGGGCACTTGTTTGTAAGTGCACTCTAGTCCAACTGCAAACTTGTAGTGTGCTTTGAAGTTTTTGTGAGTAAGTCATCAAGCACAGAATTGACTTTTTGTGATAAAAGAATAATCCACCTCATGAAAGACAGCAATGCAGGCTTACTGTGCCTATTTGGGAAACTACTGAACTTTTAGTATGCATCAAAAACTGTAATTTTGACTATTCTTTGTGCATATGCCAGCTGTGGAAGTCTCACAGCTCTTACACAGACAGCATGCAGGATAACCAAATTTTCATTCTTTAACTTCAACTTTTATCACCATCTACAGTCTAAAGAGGGGGCCAAGCCCAAGTATGATGAAGAGAATTTGGTATATGTCATAAATGATCTTTTCCTTGGTGGATCAGAGACCTCAAGCACTACATTGTACTGGGGACTGCTTTATATGGTGGTGAATCCAGACATCCAAGGTGAGAGTGGTGGGGTTTTCCTGTTTATTTTTATTATCCTATACTAAACTTAGGCATTAAATAATACTAAATCACAGGGTATAAACCCAATGTATGATGTTGAAATAATGCATTTTTCTGTTGCTCCAAGAAAAGTGACCACCTAAAGTATTTTATGCATTTTTCTCCTCTGAAGTGGTGAATATTTCTCCACAGTGAAAGTGCAGGAGGAGCTGGATGCTGTTCTGGGTCCTTCCCAGTTAATTTGTTATGAGGATCGCAGAAAACTGCCCTACACAAATGCTGTGGTTCACGAGATTCAGCGCTTCAGCAACATTGTCTTTGTTGGTGTCCCCAGATTGTGTGTGAGGAACACAACTCTACTGGGATTCCCTGTCAAAAAGGTACGGACACATTTTCAGCTTCTGTTCTTTCTTCGGCAGAGAGGGATTTCAGTTTGGTAACCAGTGTTCCAGCTATCACTACTCTCCATTAAACTCAGGAATATGGTGCCTGGGGAAGAGTTACTATCTGTGGAACCAGGAATGAAAAGTCTTTTACTTGGCATGTAGATGCTCACACAGCTTTTAAGGCCTCTGCCAGGGACACCTCAAGTTCCTGCCCATCACAACGGCAGAAACCAGCTCTGCTTGGTAGGGGATGGACTGAGAGGAGAAACTGGATTGCCAAAGTGCTGGTTAAGACCAGCTTGGCACTTGCCCAAATGCCAACAAGCAACAGTTTTATCCATCAGGCACAAACTGATGGCTGACAGGTGCTAGTAGTAGGAACTGAAACAACAGTTTCTTCTTTGCAGGGCACCATTGTTATACCAAATATAGCATCTGTTCTGTATGACCCTGAGCAGTGGGAGACCCCTCGACAGTTCAACCCTGGCCATTTTCTGGATAAAGAAGGAAACTTTATACCTCGAGAAGCTTTCTTACCATTCTCAGCAGGTAAAGGCATTGACAGTTTGAACTAACCCAGCAGACGAGATGATTAATACAGAAGTATGAGATCATGGTATTTCTTCAGATAACACCTTCTATCTCTGCTGTTTGCTGCCTTTAAAGAACATTCCTGGCTTGTTTCTGCCAAAGGAAAGGCTTCTGTGCTGTCAGACCCCAAACTTTTCATAGGACACTGTGGTGGGAATCCCACTCAAACTCCCGAAGCTCTCAGGCTGGCTGCACGCTGCAGTCATACACAAGTTTTGTCTGTAGTATTCCTTACACCTAGCTATTTTCCTGAGAAGTAATTTGTCCTGTGTGAATCGGAGTTGATTGCATTACCTTCTAAAGAAACAAACTGAAAGGAAAGCAGAAGGCACCCTGATGAACACAGGATTATGTTCTTGCTTACGGAACTGAAAATCCAGTTGCAAAAGAAGGAAACAAGGCAACAATGCACAGAGAGTAATCATACCTAGCAGCAAAGTTCCTTAGTTTGTTGATAGTCACTTAAATGTCCACACAGAAGTGTTTTCTTAATTCAAACACCTTTTTCTTTCCTTATATTTGTGTATGTAATATTCACCTTTTCTGCTCACACCATTTATGCCAAGGAATGGGAATCGTGGGAAATGAACAGTAGGCCTCATGCTTTGCCTATTAAGTGACCAAGCCTCTGTTCAACTGCAAATGCCACTGCTAAATAATTTTGCTCTGCTGATGCTAACTCACTAGAGCATGTGCAAACAGCTGGCAGGTATTTTGTGTGTGGTCCTGAAGTTCAATATCTTCTGTAAAAGCAAAATAGCTTTTTTTCTGTTGGGTCAAGAAAGAAATTATGTTGGCACCTCATGGGTTTTCATTGAAATTTTAATTTTGTGTCTCCTAACCTAGGACATTGGATGGGATCTTTTTGAAAGGGAATTCACATAGTTTTAGTTCTGTGGCTTTCATGTTGCTCTCCTTGAACAAAAAACAAAACCCACCTCTGCTTTCAACAGGAATGAATGAAGTGATAATGAAACTGAAAAATTCCTAGACACTCACTGTCCTTTCCTCTCTCCTCTGCAGGGCACCGGGTGTGTTTGGGGGAGCACTTAGCCAGGACTGAGCTCTTCATTTTCTTTGCCAGCCTGCTGCGGGCGTTCACCTTCTGCCTCCCCGAGGGAGTGACCAAGATCAACACTGAGCCCATTTTTGGGGGCACTCTGCAGCCCCACCCCTACAGGGTCTGTGCCATCCCACGCTAGGCTGCAGCAGCCACAGGCCAGCATGAGACAGCTTGAACCACTTTTACCTCCATGAATTTCCTCTCTAGTGTGTAAACCTCCTTCTGGCTATTGATATTAGTCCACCCAGAGCTATTCAGAAAGTGGATGCAAGCCAAGATCCAGAATAACAATATTTTTTTGGTCTGCTCTTTGTGAAAGTCATGGATATTCTCACAGGGATCTTGCCCGTATGTTCCCCTCTGAGAGCACTTGAAGCCAGATGCTGCGGCTCCCAGCTGAGGCCATGCTGTGTCCCCCTGTCCTAGCCCAGCCAAATCATCCTCATGCTCAGTCCTGAGCAAACCTCAGGAAAATTAAGAGTATTTCAGCAAGAGCTGAGTAGGTGCCACTTCTGTGAGTGGCCAGATGACCTCAAGTAATTTGATGGCGGAAAGCACACTTTTAAAGCTCTATTTTGGCTTTAATGACCTAAACTTAGCCAGTTTAATTTGTCAACAGGTTGCAAAAAAAAAAAAAAAAAAAAAAAAAAGAAAAAACCAAACCAACTCCCAAATCCCAGGAAATACAATTGAGTACGAGTGCCTTCACATCTGAATTTGATGTTAAGTATCAAGTATCTCCCATATGCTAGGTAAAAAGTAATTCTAAAGTGGAAGAAAGAAACTTAAATTTGGTGTTTACCATCAATGTGAATACTATCAGTCTGAATTTACAGCCTGATTATAGTTATATTGTCAATTTTTTAGTTTATTTTTTGTTTTATTTTTAAAGATGTAGAATCACACCCATTATCAATCCTGCTTGGAGGAGGCATTGAATGTGAGATGCGATAGTCACTTTGCATGTGAGTTTCACTGCTAACTCCATGACAGAGGAAGGTAGAAGCTTTAGAAGGCAGCCTCAAGGGTCTACCTGAACACTCAGAGAGTCTCTATTTTCTCTGTACCCTTTACTTTTTTTATTGCAGCTCAAACCACACTTCCTGGTCTTCATTCAAATCTCCCCTACCCTTTATCAGTTCTTACTCCCACTTACCCTTTATCCATATAAACTCTATTTCAGTATTCACATTGATGTGATGACATCAAGCTTCTCTCTCCTTTTTTCCTGCACAAATATTAGTAGAGGAATCCATGCTGAGCTCAAAAAAATCACCAGTGTGTTTTCAGGAGGGAGCCATCAAAATGTCCTTTGATAGAGGAATTAATTTGTTATTTAACATTGCTTTTATATCATCTCTTGTAGTGTCTGCTCAACACCAACTCCACTTTAATGCAAGCCCATCTCCAACTCTTTTGGGACAGAATGAAGTGTCTATTTTAAAACAAACCTTCCATTTAAATCCTATCAATATTTAGTACAACTGCAGGTTACCTCTGATCTGATGTCTGTTTATAAATTTTAAAAACAAATCATTCTTTCCCTGGATATCACAGGATATTGGTCCTCTGTGCTTGACTTGGGAGGGACTTTGTGGTGCCATTGTGTTTATTAAACCTCTACAAGTCAGGACTTTGTCTCAAGTAGGCAACAGATGGGAGAAAAAAAAGGAAAAATCCTAACCTCCAACACCCTTCTACAGCTGGTGCCTCTCACTGCCTTTGCCCACTCCACTTGTCATCTTGCCACTTGCTGCAGAGGCTCAGCCACAAGATCTGTGTGCAGCTGGTGGTGCTCCAGGGCTGGAACAGTGACTCCATTGGCTCTGTGCTCAGTCCCACTGGTGCATGGCTTCCCCGTGAGCAGGCAGGTCTCAGGAGTGGCATGAGGTGGAAAGAACTGCTAATGTGCTGCTCATTCCAGCCACTCCAGGACCCTGGCCACCAACCCCTACCAGGTGGTACAAAGGAGCACATTTGCTTTTAAACAGTCTACTGAAAATTTGGCTGAATAGCAGGAGACCCCCAGCTTTCCCTTTTGGAATCTGAGTTTTCAGACAGTCTTGCACAACAGTTTTGCTTTTCCTGAGCAGGGGAGCCAGTGTGGTGTGTGCAGCCTCCTGTATAGATTAGTCCATGTGGGTCAAGCAGCCAAACTGGACAAGTAACGTGTCTGAAAACTTACAGCACCACTTTACACCCATGTATTTCATAAAGATTTGAAATGGGATGATGGAGGAAGACAAACAAACTCAGATAATCTGATAAAATTAACTTTGCTCTACCTCCACTCATTTGGGAAGCTTGGGAGGGCTTCTGGTGTAGGAAACAACCTAGAGATCTACCAGTAACTGTTCAGGTGTATACTTCCAGCTCCTGGAGAGACTGACTTCTGGCAGAGGAGAAATTTGCAAGTTACGGGGAAGAGTTGAATTGATCCCAGGGCAATGGTGAAGGATGACAGCATACTTATCTCTCTTGGGCTCAACTGACTTCCCTAATCCCCTGTCCCCATTCTTCCCATTGCTTTCTGGCCCATTCAAGTGCAGCTTTCCCTTCTGATTGTCATCTGTCATCAGCTGGCTACCCACAGGTTCCAGCCCCATGGTACGTGTCTGCCTTAGGCCATCAAAGCGCTGCCAGGCCCGAAGGTGCACACCCTGCTGCTGATGGCTGTAGTGCTGTAACTTCTTTTAATTGCTGTGATTGATTAACCCTCCACCCCATTTTTTTTTTCTTTTAAATTTTATAACAAGTGTCAGCCACAGCCTCAGGTCTCTGAGTTAAGATGGAACTGTCATCCATCATAATACGGTTTAGGTTTTGAAATCAGGTTGCAGGTGTCTCTTCCACGGATGTATGTGCAACTGGGTGTGTTACTTTTTAAACCACTGTGATTGCTTCAGCTAAAAGTGAGTTCATGTCACAGAACTGCAGAAGGGCTGCTTTGTTTTATATTTGCAGGATAGCAGGAGAGTGTGAATCCAGAAAGACTAAAATATTTAACTTTGATGGCTATGAAAGAGCTGCCTGACATTATATGGTGCTCAGCTCTGCTAAGTTATGGTTCAGGAAAGCACTGACAAGTTGTCTGCCCCCCAGATCCTCTGCTAATGTTTTTCTTCTGCTTTTCTTTCTCTTTCATGATGGGCCTCTCCTGGGTAGCAATATTAGTGCCACAGCCATAAGCAGGACAAACGCCAAACTCCAGGGAAGCTATTTACCCTGGCAAAAGGAAAAAGCAGACACTGGAGACAAAGACAGCCTTGTGTAACAGTTGGTAGATTCTGCATCCGTCCAGAAATTAAAAGCAAGGGTTGATTTTTTCACTTCTGTTCAAATAAGTTGTTTGGGGAACTGTTTTGTTTCAAAGGCCCAGGCAAAACTGTCCCTGTGGAGGCTTCATGGAATGACCCAGTGAATCATTGGTGTGTAGTGCGGGAACCTAACATCTGTGGGATTACATTTTGGAAAAAAGAAATTATCTGTTGCACCAGCATATGCATTTGGGAAAACTATTTCTGTATTTAAGGAAGTTTAGAAACTCTTGGACAAACAGGAGGTGAAAGAACAGGAAACTTTTGCTGTCTCTCCAGTGGAAGATCTGGCAGGTGACAAATGCAACAAAAAGGGAGATGGGTCAAAAGAGCCAGGGGGGCTGCACTGCCCATGCTGTGTTGGTAATCTGAGCCTCATCACATGGTTTGTACTAAATATCTCTTTCTGTTCAAAAAGCAATTGGATATATCTTCAGCAGGAAAATTACTTTAGGGTTGTTTAGTAACAATGCAGTATTTGGCATTTGTACTGTTCTTACAAACATTTCTAAGGCACTTGCAATCATGTGCTGTCAGAACATGAGCCTGGCTGAACTTCCACCTGAAACACCATGGCTGTGTTTGGGTTCTGAACAGAATTAAAATAGTTTCATCTTAATCTTGAATATTTATTGTCATTATTATGTCACATTCATATTTTCCATTTGAATAACTTCATCTTACTTTCAGACACTGCCCTGACCAAGTGCCTGCTGAGACATAACTTGGGAAACTATAAAAGATGCTCATCCAAGCAAGAGTAATCCTGGAGCATGAGCCAAAATGCACTAAATGCTATTCACTTCCCTTTGAAAGTTTTGCTTCTGGCACATTTCAAAGCTTGATTCATTCATTTGCCAAATGCCTTCAGGTGAGAAAAATGCACTGTGAACAGGAAATTTGATTTTCTTCAGTACTAAAATGAAACTTCATGTTTAAAAAAGATAATATGCTAGTTGAATTGGTGTTACACACACTTCCTTTACCACATTGTTAAAGAGCCATTTGTCATTGTGAGTGAGATCTGCATTTAAATCCATGCTGTAAGGGCAGCCTTGAACTGGGAACAGTGGGTAATCCAAGACAAGGAAATCCCTCCTCATAAAATCCTTGTGCTGAAATGTTGTTATCTTCTCACTTCTTTTTATCTTCATTTTATATTTATATTATTATCGCCAGTATATTTGTAATTGTGAAATGTTACATTAATAACATTTGCAGCTGAAATAAATTGAAACAGCAAACTTGAGGGTCACATAAGAACAGATTTATGGATATTTGTAGACAGTTGGTTTCAACATGTGTAAAATACAGTTGATGTACCTGCAAAAGTCACTGTGAACTCGAATAGCCAGTGGAAGGGAGAGAGAAAGAGACGAGTAGGGCTGCATATGCCCTGCAGAATAAAACAAGGGCAATCTTTTGATAGTAAAACTGTATAAGGAATATGTTTACTTTGGGTGTTTGTTGCAGGCAGTGATATAAGGCAGGCAGATGAGAAAAGCCTCGTCACACAGTGGTTGGAGCACAAAAGATGTCAAAACAAGGGGTCTGAACAACAGCTTTGCCATTTCACAAAAAACATTACTAAGGCAGTTTTGTATGTAAATCAAATGGTGGGAGATATAAGCACCATGATTTGAATCAGCAAGTCATGTTGTTAGAGTTGTAAATAAAATTTGTACGTAGGAAAAGGTCAGCTCTTTAACTTTTTCCAATATCCATGGGCAAGTTTCATTTCATCCTTGTCCCCGAGTCCTTTGAGATGTCTCTCCAGACTGAAATTACATTGTTAGAAATGGTTCTCATTTGCTGAGGTGAATTACACCTTGCTTTTAACAGTAACTCATAACCAGAGGTCTGGTCTAATCAGTTCTACCAAGAAAGTGCTTTCTCTGAGAGCAAATCTTACAAAGCCAAGAGATTTTGTTGTTGGTTTGGGCTTTTTGGGGTTTTTTATCTTGTTTGCTGTTGTGGGTTTTTTTATTGAGTCCAAATCAGTTCCCAGTCATGACTTATGGAAGAGCAGTAAGGGCTGAATTTATGATTCTGTGGGTGTTAAGAGGGTATAGCAAAGACCCCCCAATGCACAGGCACCTAGCCAGTCACAGGAAGCTTGTTCAGGGCAAGAAACACCAGTCAGAAGATGGAGTGGAGCTTTATTTAGGAGTCCAAGTACCCCAAAACATCACTCATATTACTGGCTGCATGGTACACAGAATTCCAGGCTGACTGCAGACTGATTACAAGACAGCATGCAGGATTTGGGTGTCCCACCACTGAGCATCGTGAGAGGTAAGGTCCATGTAACTCACTTATCAGTGTAACCATTAACAAACTGCCAATTTTTGTGTCTTCATTTATCCTTCTGATAGGACAGCCTTCTGATCTCATTCATCTTCCACACCCAGCAGGAATATCAGAGAGCTCAAGTTTAAGTGTTTACATGTACATTTGTCAGGAGAAGGGAGGTGGGGGGTAGCTGTTCTTACAAAGGTGTTGTACCACAGCCTGAGGGGGAAGTCTGCTTTCAGAGCACCTCCTGGCATCTAGATCCTCCTCCTTTACTGTGCTCAGTGCTATGGCCAGCTGTGTGTTGGCTATTTCATAACATTCTGAACACGTGTGGAAAATTGATTTCAATTGATCTCAGTAAAACTCACAGCCACGTCTGGGAACTCACTGAACGAGGTAAGGTATATTTGCAGGGATGGTACAAAGGGATCTAGCATTAGGCTTGACTTGATTTACCATCCTCACTGGTGATTAAGAAGAGTTGAAGAGTAGAACATGCTTTGCAATGTGACATTTTAAAATTATTCTAAACTCCTTGCAGAACTCTTAGAGAAAAAAAGGGGTTTATGGGTCTGACTGAACATAAAAATGAAGACACAGTGTAGAAAATAATTCATAGAATAAAGCACAGGCAAATGTGGGCACAATAAAACATAGGAAAAATAGTCCTAAATTATCTGGGTCATTCTTCAGGATGCTCTGAGGAGCCACTATAAATCTGTATGAATGATATGCTAAGGTGATTTCACAGAGCTCATATTAGCTGGAGAAAATCAATGGCTTTATATGCACGTGGAAACATATCTTACAGAAATGAATAAAAAATTGTGGGTTTCACTATAGATTTCTCCTTGCTTCAGAGACATCCACAGGAAATAAAGCAATCAGATTAAAAAACACAGCAGCTATGAACCCTATCTTTTAGATTGAATCAAAAGGTTTTAAAATTTCTTCGTCTTCTTCCTTCATGTACTGAGGGGAATAATTTAGATGAAATTTCCATTCAAAATAGCTTTTA